TTTTTTTTTTTTTTTTTTTTTTTTGTTAGATTTTTTTGTTTTTTTTTTTGTTAAGAGGATAAAATTTCAAGCTGGCGAACTTAAATGAGGTTGCCGGTATCTTGACCCTAGAGTTGGCATCAAGATTAATATTGTTCAGGAATCAGTTTAATTGTGATTAAATTTTAAGGAGTAAAATGAAAATTTAAAAAATAAATTAATGAAAAGTAACAAAAAATAAGCATGAAATAAATAAAAAAATTTGGAGAGAGAGAGAGAGAAAGAAAGGATTGTGGGATAGCGCCCACCCCGTTGTCTTAAGAATAATTTAAGAAGTAAGAACATATTGTCATCAACAAGAATAATTAAAGGCTTTTTAAATCTTTTAACAAAACCAAGCATCTCTCTCTCTCTCTTCTTTTAATAGAGTTCCTTTTTATCAATTGATCAAGTTCTTACTTTTTATCCCTTTAAGAACAAAATAACATTTAGGGTTAGTTTGATTATATTTAAAAAAAAAACTGGTTAAGTTTATAAATATTAGTTCTAACCCAATAACATTTTATAAAATCAAGCCAAATTTTGAACATTAAAATATGTAGTTTTCAAAAAGTTAAATTTTATTTTTCTTTTTATTTAGTTATAATGTCTGTGCTTTGTTTAAAAATTAAAAAAAAAAAAAAAACTAGAGGAAATACATACCTTACTTTAATGACCTTACTTTAATGACATGTTAGAAAGAGAATTTAAAACTTTGACCTCTTAAACTCAAGTACATCCTATTAAGTTAAGTTCAAATGAGACATTTAACGTAAGTTTATTACTACAAAAAAAAAAATTAATAATAAATTTTTATTAACACAACCATACAATAGATAATTTCTTCTATATTGGATCAACTAAACTAAAAAATATATCAAAACTTTTGACTGACTTCCAACCTAACTCAACATCAATACCATGTAAGATCAAGGCCATACACGTTGCATTTAGTTGGCATCCAATCCCCATGAAGGCATGGAGAATGTGAAAATTATATAAAGAATTAATGACAATTAATCATTAGTTAAAATAATTAAAGATTTATTTATCTTTCCTCACAAAGCATTTTCGGGTCCATAGTGGGCCCTCCAAACCAGCCCATTAAAGTGGCCTTTTTGCCTGATGGCGACATGTCGAATGTCATTGATGGTGGGAAGTTGCCAAACTCCAATATTTTTTTTTCTAACACCTTTGAAAAAGAAAACAAAAAAGGATTATTCATGTTTCTATTGAATGTTAAATTTCTATAATACCCTTTAATTATATGATGTATTATTCCATTGAAAACGACCGACGTTTACTTTTTCTTTACAAAAGTTCAAAGGATATTTATGTAATTTAAATTTGTTTAATTGTTAATTTTTTTGAACAAGACAGCTCAACGACATCTAATAATTAAAATTTAGCTTTAATTAATCTAATTAATCTCAAACTTTGGTTAATTGCGTGTGGTAAGTGGAAACCATGTAGGGTTATCAGCTAGAAAAGGAGAAGATAACAACATTTAATATACTTTGTAACCATTAAAATATAAGTTAATGAGAGTTTTAATTACAATGGACAAAATATTTTAAGTACGTTTGATAATGTTTTTTAATAGAATATAATATAAAAGATGGAAGATTGAGAATTTGGACCTTCAATTTATGGCAATTTTTTTTTATTAATTTCTGAGTCATAATAAAATATTACATATTACAACTCTGTTTTAAAAAAACAAAATCTATTATTTTCAAATGACTAAGTACACCCAAAATCTTATAATAAGAGTTTTCTATCAGTCGTAGGATTATTTTATGCTTCTCACCTTTTTAAGTGATCGGATTAATTTTTAAAAAAGTTATCTTTTTACTCAAATTCAAATTTAACACCATATTATTATTTATTACATTTTAGAATCTCAAATAAACCATATAGTTTGTCTTTAAATTTAGTGTTGAAAGGATGTTTGGTATCTAGGAACCATCAACCAAAATTGGATGATCAAATATAATAACAACAAACACTAAATAGCATATCACACCACACTTTTATATGAGATGGATGCTTGATTTGTCTATTCAAACCAAGCACCCTCAATTACCTAATTGTGATAAGTGCATACCCACTTGTATGGCAAAGCCATCCACAACTCGAGTCATAACACATAAGTCTTATGGTTAATAATATAATATAGAGGAAAAAAGATTATAGGTGGATGGATTTTTTTTTTTAATTTTTTAAAATCAAACACCAATTTAATTTAAACAACAAAGGGCATTCCACATAAACTAATCACCTATCATTTACACAAATTACTAAAAACAAAATACTAAAATATATTATGCACTTGTTTTAAAAGGCGATTTTATATATGAAAGGAAAAGTGGAAGGATAAAATCATAACCTTTCAACTTCGAATTGAATATGATGGATGGATCTAAACCCTAATAATGTGAACACTTGTAAAAAAAAATAAAAAATAAAAAGGTAGAAACATGTGTAAGTGTATGCAAAATGCAAGAGGGAGAGAGAAAGAGAGAAAATATTAGTTTCACCCTAAAAACAATTGAAAGCGATGGGGTTTTTGGAAAGGGAAAGGCACAAGTTGAAGTTGGCATCCATTGTCCTTCACAAGCAACCAGAAAGAGAGAGAGCATGAGAAGGAAGCAAAGTTGATAAGCCCACTTAGGGTTTGGAAAGTCTTAAGATGATGAAACAATCCACTTCCCATTTTCATTACAAACCAAAACTTATTTTCAATGATTGAGATGAGCATTACTTGGCAGCACTTAGCCTATGGTTATCATTAGCATGCAAAATGAACCCAAGTTCACCCACCAAACATTTTTTTTTAATGGTCGACAAGTCATTTATTAGTTCACTACATTTGACTAACGAATAATTAATTTAGTTAGGTTGAGTTTAAATACATTGCAATTCAGCTTTATCAATCAATTTAATTACTTTAGACAAGGTTCATCCTACCATTTATTGCCTACTTAATAGACTTTATATAATAGTGTAAATAAAGATCTTAAGAAGTTCTAGTGACTTGAAAATCAACTCAAATTAGATGATTTGGGTTAGGTTATAAGTTTAGTTGAGTTAAATTGAGTTTTAATTAAACCTATTTGGTTGATCCATTAATCTTTCTAAAATTAGTTTAAATTCAACCTTGTTTTACTTAAAATTGATAGACTTAATTATATTATATTGTAAGAATAATAAGATTAATGAGTTTTGTTAAAATAAAAGGACCACTAGATTCTTTTCAAATAATTATCCCTAGTATCTTAACCTTTAGAAATCATTTGCACAATACCTTTTATAGATGAGACAGAAATCATTCATATGTTACCTCTTGTCTAAATGTAGTTTTCTTCCATTCATAGGTCAACTTCTTTGAAAGAAATGACCTATTTAATACACTAGCTTACTTAATTGTATATGAGGGGATGTTTATCACTTTTGATTGACTAAAAAAGATACCATAAAGTCTCGCTCCAAACGATCGGCACTTTATATTCACTTTTTTACCTCATTAAAAGTTTGATCTTAACTCGATCAAACATCTAATTTGGAACATACTTACTACTTGTTCGTATGTGTTGGAACTATACTCTAAGAGTTCTTAATTATTTTTGTAAGACACGTTTGATTACAAAATAAAATAAGATTATTATTCTTAGTCTACACATATTTTTCTCTTTATAGTCTATATGGTGAACTCTTAATATGTCATATTTACAACTCCCCCCAAAACGGTGGTACATTGGAAATAAGGTTGTTGGAAGTGTATGAGTGATAGAGAAAGTGATAGCACACTTCGGTTTAACTGTTTAATAAAATGACTAAATGAAGACACAAAGGACAGAGGGGTTGGTTTTCCATTTATTGCATTCTTTGTGTGTCCTTCTCTAATTGAATTTATTGCTCTGCTAACCTTTTGTGATTTGATTGTATCCTTTCCAGGTGTCCTCTACTTGAATTAGTTGCACTATTAACTTTATTTTAGGTGGTTAATCAAAATACCCAATATTTAGATCTACAACTCAGGTGGTTTTTGCTTTGGATTTAGATTTTTTTTTTTAATTTAAAATAAACCCATTAATTCATTTAGTATTATTTTTGTAATATTAATTGAATTTCCTGGTTGAAGAATGGGTTAAATGTTAATCAAGAGGATTATAGTAATTATTATTTCGTTTTCGTTTTCATTCTAATTTCTCTCTTTTTGTATTGGTATTTGGGCAATATTGGGTTGTTATTGTATGATATTCGGGCTGATGCAAGCTGGGGTTGGGCTTGAAATAAGTTGGGCCTACAACTTCATTCCCAAAACTCAAAAGCACATCCAACAGAAAGGAGCCACGTATGCCGTAAAACGTGGCGGCGCCCAATATAGTCTTACAGTGACGCAGATTTTGGTAACGGTTTCGATGCCAGCCATTAAGTCGAGCCATTTAACTCCTGAAGTTAAAAACCGAAGGATCAAGTCAATATCCTCTGTATCAGAGCGGTGACCGGAGAGAAGACTCGCCGGCCGGCCAGGAGGAGAATCGATCACTGCAATTCTTCTAATCCCCTCGGCGCTTATTGTGTCTCCGGCTACCTAATTTCCTGCCAAAATCATGGTAATTTTCATTTTCTTTTGGATTCCATCTCAGATTACAACTGCGATGGATTATTGATCCGTTTCGCCTTTATAGGGTTCTTTTGTATGACTTTTGGCTACTTGCCTTCATTGCATCGCACCGTAATTGAGTGGTTAAAATATTTGTATTTTGGTCTTTAGACATTGTTGGACATGAGTAACTTGCATTCCCCAAATCTCTTGATTTGAAATGCACTTTAATTGGTCTAAATCTCTCGGTGAAAACTAACTGAGAAACACTAGTAGTAGTGAATAGAAATATTGGGCATTCAAATTGTTAAATATTGCTTCCTTTTTCGAGTTTAAGTTTCACGAAATGAACTTTTAGCAGAAGAATAATTGGAAATAAGTACTCTCTCTTGTACCGCTAATCTAAGTTGAGGGTCGTTTTTCGCAAGTTTCACTTTTAAATTTTAGTTCGTGTTAACCTGAGATTTTTGGTTGGACATGTGGTAAGGGGGCATTGTTTTGAATGAAAAAAGAATCTGAGCTTATGTTCATTTTGTTTTGGAATGTTGGTGTTACTGAATTGAGTATATACTAAATTATGATATGTTAGTAAATTATGATATGTTAGTAAATTTAAGCTTCTGCTTTTGTAGACAACATCAAGGCGCCTTGCAGACCGGAAGGTGGTGAGGTTCGAGAGTAATATCAGAAAGAGAGGAGCTGTTCCAGAGAAGACCCTTAAGAAGGGGAAGGATTATCCTGTGGGGCCCTTGTTGCTTGGATTCTTCGTATTTGTTGTTATTGGATCATGTAAGACTAATCCTTTTTATTATTTATATAATTTCCGCTACTATATTGTTTCTGAGCTTTGTTTATTCAACAGCTCTCTTCCAGATGATCAGGACAGCAACAGGCGGAGGCATGGCTTGATGTGATGATCTGATTTTTGGATGCTGTTACAGATTCATGCTGTCCTCTATTTCCTTTATGATGAACACAAAAGAATTTTGACAATAGAATTGTTACAGTTCTCTTTTGTAACAATTGCTTGTAATCTAATATAGTTTCACTTACCCGATTAAGAGTTTGAACGTTTGAATTTTATCTTATTTCACCGGTTGAGCTATTTTCTTATACTATGAAAATGGGTGGATGGCAGGACAAGAGGAGGAAGAAAACAAAGAACAAAAAATGTTTGCAATAATAATAGAAATAATAGTCCACACAAATCTGTTAAATGGCTTGCTTCCTACCCAGCAGGCAAGGACACAGTAGAATCCACACTCAAATTGCCTACAGATTGCAACGATTGGTTGTTGTCCAAAGCCCTTTGAGAGTTATTATTTGATGATGAATTATTGTTTGAATTTGAGAACAAATTGGGTTTGCTCCACTTGAAAGGGAATGAAATCCTTGTTTTGGACTGAGTGGTCATAGAGGTAGGGGTGGTGCAGCCTATTAGCTTGGCTTTGGCTGAAACTGTGGGAGCCATGTAGTGTGGGACTGAGAAAGGAGGGCAGCTCGTGAGGCTTTCATCATCTCTAAGTCCCACAGCAAATGGTGAAGAATCAGTTCCATGAATAATGCTTCTCGGCCTTGAATACGATCTCGAGTTTGCAGGCAGGGTTCGGAACGCGGCCGGGGAGGTTTGGGATGGTTGATTTTGTAGACTTCGGTGTGAGAGTTGTTTGATCCATATTGTGTAGATGTTGTTTGTTGTTAATACTTGGGGTTGGGTTTTGTTGTGGAGTTTGAAGTGCAAAAAGGAAATTATTGAGAGTTTGAGGTTCAGACGACGGAACATTTGATGGAGGTAATTGACTCTCTAACCAATTCCACCACCATGACAACCCTGCAGCCCTAATGTCTGTCGTAACTGCTTCAGCTCAATTTGGACTGGCCTTCCACAACTACAGTACATATTATAGGGTTTTAGGGTTTTGGGTTTTGGGTTTAGGGGTTTAGGGGTTTCGGGGTTTGGGGGTTTAGGGGTTTGGGATGGAGCTTTATTTTTATATTGTTATACCCATGCCTGGATAACGAGATCAGAATACTTCATTGCAAACAGTGATCTAGAGTTTGATTTGAAGCCATTTTCTCAACGAAAGCGAACCCAACCATCAGAACTTACTGGGTCCTGGAAGGTATTCGAAGTAAGTGGGACTCCAATTTTTGGTGAGGAGACAGTGGAGGAGAGCGATGCCACCCCATACGTGTATCTCTGCACAGAAACCTCAAAGAAAAGGAGATTACCAGGAAACCTAGTATACTTTGTAAACACGTTCACAGGTCAATAATCCTTCCGCAGGTTCACCTACGGAAACCTTTTTACGACTTCTTCTTCCTCTACATGATAAGGTTCAGTGGACTTCTCGCGACGTCAGGATTTGGGGTGTAGGGTGTAGGGTGTAGGGTTTAGGTCAAATCATAAATGGAAGAATATTAAGATATAATATCTAAGATATATTCCATAAATAATATATCTCAACACTCCCCCTCAAGTTGGAGAGTGTATGTTAATCACCCCAAGTTGTCTTTCACTCTTGTCTTCCCAGTAATGAAAATATCTGTCAAAAAATAGACCGCCTTTGATTGGTTTGCATTTTTAGACTTTCAAAAAATTATTGAATTTTCAAGAAAGATGCAAGACTCAGAAGTAGGCCGCCTTTGATCGGTTTGCATTTTTAGACTTTCAAGAAATTATTGAATTTTCAAGAAAGATGCAAGACTCAGAAATAGACCGCAATGATTGACTCGAGGATTGATAACTTGTCCATTTAATTTGATTTGGAACAAGTGAATATCCTCCCTGATCACTTGTTGGTCCATGCATAAATGCTTTAGTGGATAATGACACCAAGATCGGTGTTTTGGATCACTTGAGAGGCTGTGAAAGAACGAACGTGAATCTTGAATGTTTGCTGAATCACCACACCTAAATGGGGGTGAGAGTTCTCTTATTTATAATCATTTTCAGAATACAGAAATATGGGGGTGAGAGTTCTCTTATTTATAATCATTTTCAGAATACAGAAATATGGTAAATTACAAATATTATGGAAATAGTAATAAAAGGAAAGAATAATAAAAAATTACAAATATTATGGAAATAGTAATAAAAGGAAAATAATAAATGAATGCAATATATTTGCTTTTAATAAGAGGGCAAATATGGTAACCCGTAATGTAAGGCAAATATCTAGATATTTGCCTTATAGTGAACGGTCAACTATCCTTAACACCCCCCCGCAAGCTGAGCGTCGGATTTGAACGAACGTAAAGCTTGGATCTGAAAAATTCAAAGAGAGGTCGAGAAATACTCTTTGTGAAGATGTCAGCAACTTGGAGATGAGAGGGTACATATTGTGTGCGAAGTTTGCCAGCGATAACAAGTTCTCGAAGGAAATGATAATCTAGTTCAACATGTTTGGCCTGCTTGTGAGAAACGGGATTAGAGCTAAAAAAAATAGCACTTTTGTTGTCACATAAGAGTAAGGGCTGCTTTGAAATAGGGACCTTGAGGTCATGCAAAAGATGCGTAACCCAAAGAAGTTCAGCAGCGGTTGTGGCAAGAGCACGATACTCAGATTCACAGTTGGAGCGTGAGACAGTAGGTTGCTTTTTGGCACTCCAAGAAACCAGATTGTTACCAAGATAAATAGAATAGCCGGATGTAGAACGACGAGTATCGGGACAACCAGCCCAGTCAGCATCCGAATAAGCGACTAGCGTACTAGGAACAGTGGATGGACGAAAGGTAAGACCAAAGTGGAGTGTTCCTTTGACATAGCGAAGAATACGTTTGACAGCAAGAAAGTGATTTGCAGTAAGGGCATGCAAGAATTGACTGACAGAATTGACAGCATAGGCAATATCTGGACGCGTAATAATCAAGTACTGAAGGGCGCTAACAAGAGATCTGTAGAGAGTAAGATCAGAGAAAGGAGAACCATCAGCAGTCAGGTGTTGAGAAACAACCATGGGAGTGTGAACTGGTTTGCTATCGAGCAACTGAGCACGAGTAAGAATATCTCGAGCATATTTTAACTGACTAATAAAGAGACCATCAGGAGTGGGTGAAGCTTCAAGACCAAGAAAGTAACTGAGAGAACCCAAATCTTTGGTAGCAAACTCAGAATGAAGCTTGCGAGTAAAGCTGTCAATAAGAGATGAGTTGTTGCCGGTAACAATAATGTCATCAACATAAAGAAGCAAATAGATAATGTTAAATTGCTGATGAAAGACAAAAAGGGACGTGTCAGCGCGACTGCAAGAAAACCCAAGTGTGAGAAGAAATGAGCTAAAACGCTGAAACCAAGCACGAGGAGCTTGCTTTAAACCATAGAGGGCTTTCTTTAATAGACAAACATGAGTGGGAAATCGAGGATCAATATACCCAGGAGGTAGTTCCATATGAACACGTTCAATAAGAGTTCCATTGAGAAAAGCATTCTTGACATCAAGTTGTCCAAGAGGCCATTTATTTGTGACTGCAATAGAAAGCACAACACGGACAGTGGTAGCTTTGACAACCGGACTGAAAGTGTCAGTGTAGTCAAGACCAGGAACCTGAGTATAACCTTTGGCAACAAGACGAGCCTTGAAACGCTCGACAGATCCATCAGGCAAATATTTAATACGAAACACCCATTTAGAGCCCACGATGTTGGTGTTGGTAGGGCGAGGAACCAAAGTCCAAGTATCATTTTGTTGTAATGCTCGAATTTCTTCATCCATGGCAGCCACCCAAGCAGGATTCTTAGCCGCAGATTTGAATCCTTTTGGCTCAGTGGATGCAAGAAGAGCAGAAAGAAGTCCAGATGAGCCCAAAATACCAAGATTTGCTGGATGACGAGTCTTGAATATACCAGCTTTGGCTCGTGTGATCATAGGATGAGTGCCCAAAGAAGAGAAATCAACAGGAGGTTCAATAGAGGTCGAATTAGAAGTCGAGGGTGGCAAAGTGGAACCTGCAAGAGAAGTATCAACCTGCACAGACTCATCTACAAGGTCAGAACAAATATCACACGGGGATGAACTGGATCGAGGAGTTTGCGGTGATGAAGTGGTAGGGGGGGATGAATCAATATGATGAAAATGTGGTTCTAAGAAATTTGAAATAGGAATAGAGGAAAGAGGTTGGGTCTGGGAGCTAGGGATAGCAGGAAAATGGGTTTCATCAAATTGAGCATGACAGGTGATATATAGCTTAGTGGTGGCCGGATCAAGACAGCGAAACCCTTTATGAGCAGGACTATAACCCAAAAAAATACAAGGAATGCTGCGGGGACAAAGCTTGTTAGGCATATAATCACGCAAATAAGGATAAACACGACAACCAAAGGGATGAAAATTGTCATAATGTGGAGTGTAGCCATAAAGGAGTTCAAAGGATGACTTACCTCCAAGAAGTGGAGTAGGCAACCGGTTGATAATATAAGCTGCAGTGCTGAAGGCGTCAACCTAAAAACGAGAAGAAAGATGAGAGTGAAAGAGAAGGGCCAAGCCAGTCTCAGTCACATGACGATGTTTTCTCTCAGCACGACCATTTTGAGCAGGTGTATATGGACAAGAGAGTTGATGGTGGATGCCAGAATTACGTAAATGAGTTTTGAAACAAGTACTAGTAAATTCGGTACCACCATCGCTTTGAAATACCTTGATACGAGAAGAATATTGATTTTCCACAAATTTTTGAAATTGAAGAAAAATATCAAAAAAATCAGATTTAAATTTTAAAGGGTAAAACCAAGTGAATCGAGAATAATCATCAATAAAAATAACATAATAAAGGAAACCCGAATTTGATTTGACGGGAGAAGGACCCCAAAGATCACAATGAATAAGATCTAACACATGAGACGACCTACGTTCATTGCGGGAATAAGGCAATCGATGACTTTTCGCAAGCTGACAGGTATTACATAATGATGGAGAAGGCAATAAAGACGTAAGAGAAAGATGACCTTTTCTATTTAAAAAAGAAATAACAGAATGATTCACATGACCTAGACGAGCATGCCATAAATCATATGAAGCACGTAAAGATTTGTTTCTAAGGGCTGAAATAAAAGCAGAGTTGCCGCGCTCCAGCACATATAGCCCTCCATCTCTTTTACCGG